GGTGGCGGGCTCGATTTTTTAAGTGAAACCTTAGGTAGATTCACTAGGCCTCCTCCGTCCACTTCTTAACCACTAAAACTCTACTTTATATCCTCTCTTTAGTACATATTTGTGACGAAGATCAGAGGCGTCTATTTGTTTTAGTCTAGTTTAGTAAGGGTGACACATAAACAGCTGGAGTTGGCGAATTGATGCAGTAACTCACCAATTTCAAAGCCAACTTTAAGTCTTTATCTTAGTTAATTGGAACATTATGGTAAAATGTCTGATAAAGAATCTCCATGGGCACATTTCAAAATTAGACGTCTGCCAGGTCTATTTTTGCAAGCAGATTATCTTGAAGTTATAAATAAATCTTAGGTTATAAATATTATTCATGTACATGGATAGGACACAAAATTAAGGTTTCTAACTAGAGAATGAAGTTCACATGGTTAGAATTACTTGAATATGTCTTTATGTAGAGAAAGAGTGGTATTTATTTTATACATCTTGCTACAACGCAAGTATTAAAGAGTAAATATTTCAATTTGTTCAAATCAATGGGTGCCATAAACAGTTATCACCATAATTATTGGGATACACATCGAAGAGTTGACAGAAAAGAATGACTAAATTTTTTTGTACAGTTCTAGTAGTTAAATGAAAAACCATGTATAATAAAAGGAAAATTTATACTTTACTGATAAACCTTGATAGTGACATAAATATTTTAGATAAGAAGTCGATTAGAGACAAAGGGAGGTAACCTGACAGTGATCTCAAAAAGCAAAACACATTAACAATCACAGAAATATCTTATGCTCATTCGCAGAGAATATAAGTAAAGCACAAATTGTACAAAACGTGCTTTAGAGTCCTTATTTAGCTGACTTTTATTTAAAAAAAAATGGCCCTGCTCTCCTCTCAATTGACGTAATAGAAGGACACAAATCATATTCTATTCAAGCGATCATTCCACCTAAAAAATTAATTTTGTATCATCATCGGCCCATCAACCCCCTTTCTAGCAGTTATGAAGATCAGGAATATAGATTAGAACATTTGTTTGAGTTTCTATTTTGACGCACAATGCTCTCAGTTAACATTGTTTAGACTAACTTATTTGCAACATCACCTTGTGATATATATTTCTTACTCGTTTTGCTATTAACATTAGTACGAGGTTTGAAGATGAAGTGCTTCTGAGATATTAAAATTCCTATAAAAGAAAACCTGTCTTAAATATATTCTATATTAAGAGATTATTACATGTTTAATCGATATTTTTAACAATGGTATTATTCCTTGTATGAAGCGCAATCCCTTTCACCAAGATATGTTATTATCATATAATTATATTAGTTAAACCAATGACGACCAATAAATTTTTTTGGGAAAGGTTTTTCTCTTTTGAATGGTATATAGTTTCGATCTATTTATACGAGGAAAATACTAAATGAGACAATATTGTTAAAGATTTGTCATTCAATTTTAAATTACTACTGATTATAGTTGTCTTGAAACATTAAACATTATAAGGACATTCCGCTTTTTTGTAAAATGTTTTCATAATCAAAAACGTTATAAATTATACCTGAAAATATTTCTTAAATATGCTATGTATCTTCTTGATCAAACTGAATTTATTTTAAAAGGGGTTTATTAAAAACCATAGAATATGTAAGGGACATAGTCCTCTACAATTAGGAGTTTATTTTTCTCAAATTCGTACAGTAGTTTTAAAGCAGCTTCCACAAAGCAAAACGAATCTATAAACCTTACGTAATGTTGTTATATATTTTTGGCGTGTAGAAATTAACGGCTGGATTAATTTAGTTAAAACTTTCAGAAACGTTAAGGGACACACAAGATATTGGTGTATAGTTTGAGCATAAGAATGTTCAAACTACAAAAAAAGCGGAATATCCCTTTAAACCTAATTCTCCATTTTTCAAGGGTGTAGTTTTTATCAATGGAACTTTTACAGTCACACGTTCGATTTTCTCAGGCAGATTGCCTCCTTTTTTCAGGATACTTCTCTTCTCGGGCTTCTTTACCTACATGTCAACCTATTTTTTATCAAGAATTCAATTATCTTTAAAATGATTTCGAACCAGGTTTTATACTAGCAAAATGTTGTTAAGAATCTTATCTCAACTAATATCTGAATACAATACGATCTTTTAACCTTAATGATAAAAAAATTCATTTACATCAGCTTATCTGTAATGGGTGCGTCGTTTTCTTAGAATTATACGGACACTATACGAATATTACAAGTACTTATGCGTATCAGTCCCGCATTATACTCCACTGGGTTGTAATTTCGACTTCGAGTCAAAAATCCGAAAGGTAAGCTATCAGAATATTTTAAAATGAGAACCCAGGATGGAATCTAACCATCTAAAATGCTTTAAGATNTCAGTCACACATCCCATTATCTATTCAATAAATCTTTTGCATTGAAAAACGTGAACGCCATGGAATCTATTTCCATGATGCGCTTTCCAACGAATTGTCATACTTTGTCAAAGTTATATACATGCTTAAATTTGACAGTTATCTTTTTTGATATGTCCTGGATAAGGACAAATGAAAAGTGTTCGTTTGGTGAAAAAATAAAATCTCACATATTTTCCGCCATTAGATTTTTTTCAAGAAAATTGCTTTTTGTTATTTGCCTTGATTATTGTTTCAGGTCGAATAAAATGTCTTTCCATAGATTTTTTGACTGTGACAAAATTACAATATTGAGAATTCTAATTACTATATTCAAATTATATTTTACTGTAATGGACTTGATTAACCCGGAAAACTACATGTATGTGCATACATAAAAGTTATATCTTATATGAAAAGTAATACCCCAGGCAACCAATATCATTATTTTATAGACGTCCACAACAAACTAGTCTGCCAGCCAACATTAAAGAACATTGGCGAGTGCAAAATCAGGAATGATATTGAGCATGTTCACACAGTCTTTGTCCTGACACCATCATTTGTCGACATTTAGTATATCATTGAAAGAAGCTCAACCATACGAAGATTTCAGTTCTACAAGTTTTGTCATGAAAATAGTTAGCTTATCAATTAGAAACCGATAAACTTTATTAATCGACTGGTTGGCATTTAAAATAGACACAATCGACAGAGGTCAACTCGTATCAAATGAATTTTATCTTACATTAAACGACAAGTTTATAGATAATCTCTACAAGCGTTGATAGTTATCATATTCGTATTCAGGACATGAAACGTTATTTAGTTCAGAAATAACTCGAATCAGTAGACACAGTCAATGGTGTATTCATTGCATTTTTTACGCTGAATATGTTTTTACATTTATCTTTTAACTACAAATGTACATGTACAGTTACATTTGTCCCGTAATTATTGTATATTAGTCATACTATACTTTAACCAACTTTCTAAAATATTGCCTTATAATGTTTAATCTGAAAAATTCCTAAGAAGCTGCTTAATTGAATATGAAAATGTCAGTAGAACAAGAATCAAAAAATCCTTATATATTTAAGTAGTTTTGAGTTTTCAGTCCATATTGATATTTTGTTTGTTTTGTAGGCATTACACAGATTAGATATATAGCCAGACATAGAAAATAGATGAACAAAATAGGACGTTACCAACAATTAACAGATCAGATTGCTTTCTTTTTAATTGGCAAATAAAAAAGAACAAACGGAAATGTCAAAATCAAGACCTCAAGAAAGATACAAAACAAGCCCAAACTCGTTTTCCCATCTGAATATTATGTGTATAGTCATCATCATGGTTGAAATGTGCACATTAGCTGGCAGTGAAGATGCAATACAACTTACTACAAGAAATGCTGCTGGAGATCAAACTGCAGCTTCAATTTTAACACAACAACCTCCTAATGACAGTCCAACAATATCTTCTACAACAGCTATTACAACAGCTCCGACAACATCAGCTACTACCAGTCCTACAACATCTTCTACTACCAGTCCTACAACATCTTCTACTACCAGTACTGCAACATCTCCTACTACCAGTCCTACAACATCTTCTACTACCAGTACTGCAACATCTGCTACTACCATTCCGACAACATCTCCTACTACCAGTCCTACCAAATCTCCTTCAACCAGTTCAACAACATATCTTACTACCAGTCCTACAACACCAGCCACTCATACTACCAGCCCAACACCCCCTTCTACCAGTCCTACAACATCCCCATCAACATTACCCACTACATCTCCTACTACCATTCCTACAACATCTCCTTCTACCAGTCCTACAACATCTCCTACCAACACTCCTACAACATCTCCATCAACATCACCAACAACATCTCCTACTACATCTACCACCAGTCCAACAACATCTCCTACCACCAGTCCTACAACATCTCCACCAACATCACCCATTACATCTCCTACTACCAGTCCAACAACATCTCCTACTACATCTACTACCAGTCCAACAACATCTCCTACCACCAGTCATACAACATCTCCACCAACATCACCGACTACATCTCATACTCCCATTCCAACAACATCTCCTACTACCAGTCCTACAACATCTCCATCAACATCTCCTACCACCAGTCCTACAACATCTCCATCAACATCACCCACTACATCTCCTACTACCAGTCCAACAACATCTCCTACTACATCTACTACCAGTCCAACAACATCTCCTACTACATCTACTAACCAGTCCAACAACATCTCTTACTACCAGTCCAACAATATCTCCTACTACCAGTCCTAAAACATCCCTTACTACCGGTCCTACACCACCCACTACATCTCCTACTACATCCCCTATAATCAGTCCTACTACATCTCCTACAACAAGTCCAACTACTTCTCCAACAACACTACTGACTACATCCCCTCTTACCAGTCAAACAACATCTCATACTACCAGTCCAACAACATCTCTTACTAGTAGTCCTACAGCATCTCCTACTACCAGTCCTACAATATCTCCTTTAACACCACCCTCTACATCTACTACTCTATCTCCTACAGCCAGTCCTACTACATCTTCAACAAAATCACATACTACATTTGCTACCAATCCAACAAAATCACTTTCTACATCACCTACCACACCTCCGTCTACCAGTCCAACTACATCTCATCCTACCAGTCCTACAACATCACGTACACCTCATACTACCCATCTAACAACATCTCCAGCTACCAGTCCTACAACCAGTACTACATCTGCAACTACCAGTTCAACAATATCAACTTCTACAAGTCCTACTACCAGTTCTACAACATCACCTACTACCAGTCCAACGTCTCTTACTAACAGTCCTGCAACAAAACCTACAACTTCTACTACCCGTCCTACAACAACACCTACAACTTCTACTACCTGTCCTACAACAACACCTACATCTTCTACTACCAGTCCTACAACAACATCTGCATCTTCTTTTACCAGTCCTACAACAGCACCTCCATCTTCTACTACCAGTCCTATAACAACAAACACATCCTCTACTACAAGTTCTTCAACCCCAAGTAGTTATTTAACTACCTCCGCCACTTCTAGTATTACATACGAATCGACGTCTTTAGTGTCAACTGTTGCTGCACTTTACCCAACATTTAAACCAGTAATAGGTTCGTTATAATTTGTTTTACGTACCAAAGAGTTAGGGTAAGATTGGAGATCAGGTGTACGGTCACATACAAAAGCGGCTGTCGAAATTGAATAACATAATTTACTTACACCGTTTGATATGGATTTAAAATCTGAAAGGGGTGATTTTAGACACCTTCTGTTATAAATGTTGTTGATATTTTTATTCAGATATCAGTAATATCTTAATCTGATAATATCCACCATCTTTTGAAGTTTGAACTTGTTTGCCGTTCTGTTTCTTCTTGAATAAAGGAACTCTGCAAATTTGTGTTTTATTTATTACTCATTTATCTAAATTGACCACGAATTTGTTGCAATAATTTCATTTGAGTTTACCGCTTCACAGGAAATAATTTGATTTTTATTACAGAGGTTACATCTTTCAAAGTAGATGTGACAATTAAAATAAAGGCTGTTTACGATGTGAAACTAAATGACAAGAACAGTCCACTGTTTTCAATCTATTCCAAAAACTTTACTGAATCGGTATGTATTTTGAACAGAACAAACACTTGACAAATTCAACAGTGCTATTGTACTAAAACTACAATCTAAGTCACAATCTTGCAAAAAATATTACCATTATTACACCATAAAGCAATGTACAATGATTCACTGTTTACTATTTTAGTTAACAAAAGCATACAATGGAACTCCTGGTTTTGTGAAAATAATTATCATCAGTTTTAGGTAAAGTCTATTGTTAATTTTCACCACCTGTGGGCGAGTATCGATTTTGAATACGGGATTAATTTAAATTTAGTACTTCGACTGAAACGTTGATAAAACTTCATGTTCAATAATCACAGTCAGTTTATGAGATAAGAAATCAAAAAGTGCATCATTATCATTATTACTATTATCATTATCATTATTACTATTATCATTATCATTATTACCATCATCATTATTACTATTATCATTATTATTATCATCATTATTATTATCACCATCATCATTATTACTATTATCATGATTACTATTATCATTATTACTATTATCATTATTATCATAGTTCTCTTTATCATTAAGTAAAGGAAGTGTAGTGTGTAATTACAACGCTGTATTTGATCTAACCAAAACCAATTCAGAAACGGTGAAGATACTTAAAAAGAAAGTAAAAGAGAAAATTAAGAATATTAAGACTCTTCCTGGAGCAGTGGATGACGAGTCTGTAGATGAAACATTTGCAGAAGGTTTGTCAATACTTTAAGAAGATTTCTGAAGTAATACCATTTAACACTTAACACTAGTTAACGTTAACATTACTTGTCAGAATATTACGTTCTAATTTACAATAGTATGTTCAATGACTAAACATATCGATTAATATGTATGTTGTCATTATTGGCATTTGCGACTTTTTAGATACAATGAAACATTTTACGGATAAATGTTGGAAAGCTTGCCCGACAAAATCAGAGTGTTCAGAGAGAGAGGACGGCAGTGGAATAAAATGTACACATAAGTGCGAGTATCTTGAATGTGGTAATTATGGTCAATGTGAGTTGAAGGACGACGAAGCTGTATGTAGGTATGTACTGCCTTTCTATACAGTCATTTATTACACAATTAAACAACATATAAGATCCTAATTTGGCTAGAACCGATTAAAGTTAATTTCAATTTTCCCTAACACTTCACAGAATTAAAATCCGGTAAATGGTAAGTGTACAACAATTCATTGCATTGTCACGTGCAGATAATATCCATTACATTACATCACTGATACAGTAAGGGAGACGACGTCAAAATATAAACCCATTTCGACATGCTGTTGGTAAAACAAGAAGTTTTAATAAAAAAAACAGTTGAAATATTAAAAAGTATAAAATTTTCATTTTCCGCCAAGATGACAGGGATTGATTCTGAATTGTATTTCAAAACTGCCTAAGATCCAAGTTAATATTCATACACATGATGCATTATGATAAGGACTTGGAAACAGTTGGAGCAATTATAGTTTCCAAGTTTGATATCACAGGGGTAAATTCTTATATAAATTTCGGAAGTTCTTTTTAACTGGATCGTTTTCATCATATTTATGATAATTATATATTATATTCGATATTTCAGATGTAATGAAGCTGAAGATATAGAGTATAGTGGTGTTAATTGTGATATAGTAAAAGACAAAATTCCAGTTTCCAAACAGCAAATATTGATTATAAGCTGTAGTGTGGTAGGATTCTTGTTGTTGATCATCATTATAGTGGCAATTCTGTTTTACAGACGACATCGGCAATTTAAAACACTGACCAAATCTAACAGGTAGGAGTGTTGAGGTTGTTGAATTTGCAAAATATCACAGATTTCTCAGTTAGTAGATTTGTTTAATGCCATTGCTTAAAGCATAATATTTATCAAGTGTTAAAGAATAATAGTCATAGCTATTATTCATAATTATGTCATGTATTAATCAAATATAATGATAGTGAAAAGAAATTTTTCGTATAATCATTGACGATTTGACGAAATATTTTTTTTCCAGGTATCTGGATGACGAAAATGTTTTAGAACGATATTCCCTTTATAGTGGAACAGCTCAAGAGCCGGAATCACAGAGAATCAGGTATGGATATATTGTGTTGCCTTCTCCTGCTCCCTTAATTTGTCTGTATGGACTGTTTAACTTATGTTTCAAATACGACAAAAGGCATTTGGCAGGCATAGAAAGTATCCATAGTGAACATGTCTTCAGAATTCGAAAGGAGAGCCGTTTGGTTAATTAATCATAAAATGTAATTGAATTTGCGTGATAGTGAAAAGAAAGTGCTAAATTTCCCTTGGCCAGGCTCACCAATCACATTTAGACCTTATTTTTTAATTCAATGTATTTTGATTACAGCTCTAGAAGTAACGACAACGTAAGTTTCTCTCATTTTAAACAAAACAACTATAGAAGAGAGACCAGTTCTCACGAACACTGGCACGATGTCGAGCTTCAAGATGAGCAAATCGGTCACCAATTTTACATTGAGTTGCACGGGATCACAGAAAAGAATAGGTCGAAATCTTATATGAATGGTGCTTTCAATAAATATGACTCCGAGTCTGCTGGATCTTCACAAGTGTTGGAGGTAAGTATCCACAACCACTGATTAAGAAATTACTTTGGAGGTCGATAGCAGATGATCCAAACCTAAAATGTCAAGTCTGATGTCATGGGAAAAACTGGGTACAATTTCCTAATGCAAGCATGCTAATGTTCGTTTAAAAAGCTTAAGTAAAAACTTGACATTCTATCAAAGTTTTATGATGTTCTTGTCCTTTTCTAGCTAATTGGCTTGGTTCTTACTTTCAGTCCTCTTTTAATCAGCGTTTAAATCGAGAACGCAAAACATCCACTGGCGATTACATCCATCGAACAACAAGGGAGATTTCTCAGAAACCATTAAGTGTATATGGCGAAATAGACACTGATACAGACGTAAGTTCACTTCAACACTTTTAGACAGTAACAATTAGACCGTTTCAATGCATTTCGACACACTCTCGTGTACAGTTTTGATAGTTTACTTTACCTTTACAGCGTTAATAACGCAAGTTTTGTTGTTTTTCAATTAATAAACTTTGTTTTAGAAATAAGCAATTCTAAAAGCAACTCCATGTAGTTTTTTTTCTTTCAATCGACCAATACTTAGTGTTCAATCACGTAAAAAATCGTTTCTTCCCTTTACCACACAACAAAATATTAACCCATAATACCATCACATTTTTTGATACATCCTCTCACATGTTATTTACCTGCCGTACACTGGCCAAAAATCTTTTGATAAATATCATTATGCAAAATTGATTGATGCTTAACTTGGAGAGATCCGCTGGGATAGGTCATACAAAAGTCACACAAATACAACGGAATGTGTTTTTTTTCGCTCAATTTAAAGTTATTCAAAGTCATAAACGTCAAGTCGCGATGGCAATTTAGCTTTATTGCACTCCTTTTCCCACACTAACTCCATAATCATCTAGCACCATGTCATATTTTCTCTTTTCAGTTTTCAATACGTCGCCCTAAGATTATTCTGTAGTTTTTGTTTGTAGATAGTGATATATAGATTGTAGAAACAGAACGATAATTGCATGTAGATTTGATTCCAGATAATACGTCTATAACATGCCAATGTGTATTACATGTGCAATATGCATATTATCAAACTGAACATGCTAAATGTATAGTACCGACTTATATGTGCAATGTGTATATTACCGATTAATAATGACCATGTGTATATTACCGACTTACATGCGCAATGTACCGTTGCACCATTCTACTTGGTCTTTCGTGATATATTTGTGTATCCTGTATCCTTTGGACAGCCTGTTTGGAACTACTCTCCTTCAAGGAAACTCGCCATCCAATAGTTTTAACCAAAACTGCTTAGAACTGAACATCCGAACGCTGTTGATGTAAACGAAATACTTTTTGACCCTTGCACAGCAAATCAGTGTAATGTTATGTATGTTTAGTTAGTATACCTGTAATTTTTAATTATAACTTGTCATATGGCGGCTCTCTTTTGGAGAGTAAATTTTATTTATTTTTTTCAAGGGCTTTGTTAAAACTATATCGATCGTATTGTTTAAATTATTTGTGTCAATTTATCCTTCTTTATAATTTTATAGTTGTATAGTTAAAAATGTATTATAGTTTATATTAAAAGTTGGTGACTTTGAATAAACGAAATTTTTTGAATAATTAAATGGTGGTATCAAGATGTTATTAGGTATTATTATATTTTATTTTTTTTATTATTCGGCTAAGTCGTCATGTCGCTATTTCTTTTTGTTGGTGCGTTCCTATTTGTAGCGTGTTTTGTATGTTGACCAGCTATGACAGGTGTGGCGCCAGACAGGTATGCTTACTCTTCTAGACACCTGATACCACTTTTCATTATGAAATACTTTCTTAAGATTGATATTTTCCCTTGTGTGAAATATTTATTCGCTGCTGCCAAAAAGTTTTGGATTTCGGGTTTCCTTTTGCGGTTCGTATTGTTAGTACTTGTAATGCTTATTTACTAAATGGTATTAAGAACTGAGAAAACTATATTTTAATTTATTCATACAAGTACACTCAAATAATCTAATGAAGATCACCAAACACAAGACGGTCTCACATCTTCAGAATACAAATTTTAAGCAAATTTATGCTCCTATTTATCACACTTGGCAGACCGAGTGTAACACATTCTTACTCATGACTGGTGAATTGTTTTCCGATGATGATCAGCTAGATATGCACTGCATGCCTGTCTGAACAGTATATAATTAACTAACATATAGTTTCTATCTCTGAGGAACACAAATGTCTATATTCAGAACTTACTACAATTATCTTTTAACATGCTTTTAACTCGCTGTACCAGAGATATACCACGTTCTTAGAACTATATAATAAGTAGCGTTAACACCACTAAGGTTTTTGACACTTTTTGTTACGTTAAATATCCCAGATAGTTGCTGGTGATCACTGTTCGACATAGCACACTAGCACTTTGTATTCAACGTTGTCTCGTGGCATATTGTGTTAACTCTTTTATTATACACTTTCACTTTCTTATAATAATACTCACTAAAATTAACACTATTGGTATATGAGGTAAGACGTACAAGCGAAACACTTAAGTTCTATCTGTATGTTAGTTTTTAGGCACATGCTATTGGAACCTACTAACATAACATATTGCTATTTTAACACTATCTGTTTGTGTAATTTTGCAATCTTTTAGTGTTATAATCTAAATACTTTCCACCTGATGTATTACTGTATTATACATACAAATCCTTAGGTTATGCGTAAGTGCATTCTGCTACCCCAGCGTCTATTGTACTAACAAATACACTGCTAAACGCTAAAATGTTGACAGTGTCTGTCCATTTTTTACATTTTTAACAATTATTTTAATGTTTACACATACATATTTTTTATCCAACAGGTTTTGAATTAACTATAAATTAACGACGTTTACTACAATCTTTGCCATAATGATTTCTATTACACCAACAATATCCCGGAGCCATACAGAATCCTTTATTCTTACAACTTGGTCGACAAATAGCTAAAATGAAACAAGTTAGTCAATACATTCAACTATTCGGTATAATCCGGTACTTTTTGTAATTCCCAACTTTCCCAGTACCATTAAAAACCAACACAAACCCATTGATACTGATCTAAACTCCTAAACTCGCCTGGGCACAATTCCAAATTTAAACACTTTTTTACTTTTTCAACATTCCCATGTCATTCGTATTCTGTTCTCGACATTCGTCAATCCCTCGCCATTCCACATAATATATTTGATAATAAGTCAATATAGTATAAAAAGAAGCTTACGTTTACTACAATCTGATCCAGCATAACCATCTTTACAAGCACAAATATTCGGCTTAAAACAAAGACCACTATTTTTGCACGATACATCACATATTGCTAGAATAATAGGAAAACATTTATACTATTATCATAGAGGAAATGTCTAAATTCACAAAACGTAGGAAATATTGAAAAATTAAATCTAAATTCTATTTTAGTTATTCACCTATGGAAGTTTTTGAAGTGGACACAGCATGAAATAATGATATTGTCACTCTACGAATAGTCATTTGATATGAAACGAAATCTAGTTATCAAAATTTGGGCTGTTTGATATTTAACTGTTTAGATAAGAATTATAGTCATAACCCTAATATAAGCGTAATTACAAACCTTTATCACATTTAAACCCTCTCCAACCAGATCTACACATACATCTATCTGGGGCTCGACATCTACCTCCATTCCTACAACCCTGTCTACATATAGCTGAAAATATATACAGTCAATTAACAGCTCTTAGTATATATACAATTGTCCAATTATCCTCACTCGTCGATTCAGTTATTATTCGGCTTTGAATTTGAGGGTGTCATTCCTTCTTATACATCTATCTATAAAAAAAAACGTTGTCCTACCGTTTTCACATCTCGGACCACCATAACCTCGTGGACATTTACATGTATTTTTTCTTTTACATTTACCCCCATGTACACATGGAGGACTGCATATAGCTGGAATTGCAAATTTATAATTAGTCACCAAATCCATGGCCTGATACAAAAGGTCTCACTATTAAATGCAAGGTAATACGTTTACGTGGGAGTTCATGAGTGCAGCATTAGGTATAAGCGCCGATATAAGTGAAGGTCTGTTGCTACAGGAAGGTGCTGAGATGATCTCCTCCATTAAACAAGATTTCTTTAATGAAGACTAAAGTTTAGTGGTTTTTTTTACATTTAGTTTGAAACCCTGGCCATTCAAACTTACCATTCTGGCACCTTTTGCCAAAATATCCTGTAGGACACCGACATGTACCTGCACTGGTACAGTGTCCACCATTTAAACAAGATGGGCGACATATCTTTCTCTCACAGAATATTCCATAAAATCCAGGCCGACATTTACATTTGTTTACAGCGATACATCTACCGCCATTGAAGCATTTAAAACCACAGGCAACTGAAATATTTTAAATGATTATCAAATTGTCCGTACATATCAACAAAATTCTGTGGTGATACTATAATATTGGTATGGTATATTGGTTGAATCAATGCAAGAAACAAAATATTGACTCTTAAAGTCCCCTACCTCTCTCACATCGCGACCCACCATACCCAGGTTTACAGCGACACCTGTTGGATGAATAGCATTTACCATCATTTTTACAAGACGGCTGGCAGGTTGCTGAAACATATTTTAAAATTAACATTTTCTAATGAAAATTGATTCGGTTTATGTAATTGATTTAAAAAAAAATACTATATTTATCATTGAAGAGTTCGAAAAATGGGGTTATTATCCTTCAATAGCAGTTATTTGTAATATAATAAGTTGATAAAGCCGATCAGAAAGAAGTACAAAATGGCTGGACTACATAAAATATCATATCAAGAAAATGTTACATAATCTAAGTTATCAAAATCAAAATTGGCCTATAATAATGATGCGTATCTAAGTACTTACAAATTTCACAAAGTATTCCCTTATAGCCAGAAAAACATTTACAGACATTCGGTTTGGTACAAAAACCTCCTTTGTGACATTTAGGATCACATATAGCTGGAAATAAACACAATGAAACCTTTACATTTAACTATAAAGAAAATTACATTTTCAAGTAATCCAGACTTGCTCAGAGTACTTTTCTTCATATAAAACAATTTTTTACTTCTGCAACATGGAAGCAAATGTTTTGTAGCAATGCGCTGACATTCCAGAGGGCTGTACGGTATAAGTTCATTTCATCGAAAATTACTCTGTGAAGCATTTACTGGAGAAATCTAGAAAAATCGTTCAACTTCAAATATTTATGCAGTTGCAAGTCTAAAAAATCTACACTGATGCTGTGGTTATTACTTTTACCTTTATGACATCTATGACCTGCATATCCATCAGGACATTTACATTTATTTGGTTCATAACAGGTTCTGTATCTACCACAGGACGGTTCACATATAGCTGTAATATATTTATTGCATTATGTTTAAACTGAACGCATTTTTGGACTGTCAGTGGCTTAAATATATTCAAATTGAAAATTCGAAACACAATATCATGTGTGTCATCTGAAACCAATCAACTTTATTATAACCAAAGCTTACTTACGTGTACATGTAGTGCCATTACCGCTGTATCCTTTAGGACAGGGGGAACAACTATAGCCGGGATAATCCCTTAATTCCATACAGGTAACTAAATCTGAACAGACACCTAATTTACAAGCTTTTTCACCTGAAATCGAACATAAACAACGCATAATATAAGTTCCAAACTGTGAACTATAAATATATGTACGAATGTTCATTTTTCTTTAGCAAAATATAACATTGCAACTCGCCATGGATAAGAGAATACAGTGCATTAAACAATGAGAACATACTCGTAACAAAAAAACTCACTATTTCGTTTGCACTGTTCTCCATCACCAATAAAAAATCGAGGACATTTTCCACAAACATAACCGTTATTTGGAGCAGTTAAATCTTTACATGAAGTACCAGGAAAACAAGGTGATGACAGACATGAATCAGTTTCTAAAAATATTCAAAAACAAATTAACTGTTACAGTTGAATATTTTGGTTATATAAGGTAATCTCACAGCTCATAGATATATAAATCAGTTTCATAAAACGATTATATACCACTTCCTGTAGTCCTGCTAACGAAATAGATAATATTAAATCGTAGTTTTCATCTGGAATCAATCACACTTGTTTATTTTTGCTTGAGTTTTTCATTTAGTTGACTGTGTCATTAGGAAGGTTATTTAAAGTACTCACCCGTACATGTTATACCATCCCCAGTTAATCCTGGTGGACAAGTAGAGCAGGTAAATGATCCAGGAGTGGTCAAACAGAGTACACCGGGAAAACATGGATCCGTGTTACACAGATCTGTAGAGATCTCACATTTATCACCTAATTATCATAAACATAAATGACGATGAAACATTTTCAATAAGTTTTATGATGTCAAATGTTGATAACCATGTTGACATTGGATTCAATATTAGTAGCATGAGCCCGTTCCTCAAAATATTTTTATACTAAAGTGTGACCTTTTACTTTGCGAAATATCATACTTACACGAAAATCTATCGTCGTAAATCATATTTATATATGTTATACATACACACGTTTACGGAATTTCCTCTGCAACTACACGATATGTATGCCATTGACCAGATAGAAAGATTATCAGAAAGGCTGGCAGGGGTAGGGGAAGATTAATTACCTTTATATCCTTGTGGACAAACACATTCGTAAGCTAATAACTGATCGATACAAGTACCATGTAAACAGGGATTGGGTTCACAATCATTAATATCTACTTCACACAGTTTACCTTAAATATTCAATAATATTCTTCAGATTCTAGCGTACATTAAAGGTTCGATTTGCACCATTCCAATTTCCATTCTTACGCCTGTGGTTCTTGCAATTCCACTAAAACTAACGCGTATTATGACGTCACTTGTGGGAAGCTACCGGAAGCTACTATTGCTATCTATGCAGTTCCCCTCTAGTAACGTCATAAAATGCGTTCGTTTTAGTGGAATTGCAAGAACCTCAGACGTCGGAATGCAAATTGGAATGGTGCAAATTGATCAGTGTACCCGATACTCATAGAAAGTTTAGAAATCCTCTTTACAATCCCTTTAATGGGGCATTTCAAGCAGGCCTACCATACCCGATGATTTGGCATTCACTCTCCTTGAAAGAGTGGGTTTGCGATGAAAGCATTTATGATACTGGACAATCGGGTGAAACCGTCCAAGCTTCAAGTCAAAACATCTAAAAGATATGCAAATATCAGTGACAAGAAAACAATACCGGTGGCTGTTTGTACCACTGGCTTCCGTTCGAGTTTGCAAATCTAATTCACCCACATTCAACACTAAATTCCGACGTCTTTCAACTTGCATTATAAATGTCACTTACCAGTGTATCCAGGAAGACAGGAACATGTGTATTCGAATGGACCACTGATAGAATCAAACCCATTGGCACATATTCCATTGTGTAAACAATCACACGAAACGACAATTAGCTGGAAGGGGCAGATTTTGTATTTTATAGCAACCGTAGCTTGTTAATGTTTTGATCCATTGTTTCAGAGGTAATGTTTGGTAACACCCATATCAAATAATACAGATATTCATAGCACTTTTTAAAAATGGTTACAAATCCGACATATATGTACTTTAGTCAGTAAACTATATTCTTCTAGTCAAGACATTCTAACAACTTTTGTACAACTAAAAAGAAGTCGTTTTGACGTTATAGCCAATTGACTGTTAGTGCTCCGTTTCATATTGACATATTGGTCAAGGGAAATGAACATTCTGTGAAGGCTAGAATGGGAAGACCCTGTTACCTGAATCAGAAGAACCGATGAAGCATTGCAAGGATCTGATGCCGTCACTTCAAATAACTCTAACTTTGGGGTTTCTTTTCGTTCAACTGCAGCAGTGTTCCACACCAGTATGTTACCCTCAGTTATAATAGCGTCCTTATGATGGACCGTCAGTGTCGTTTCTGAGCCCTCGGGGTCATAAGCTAAAATCAAAACTTTGACTTCCTCCTCCAAAAATCTCACCACTTGTTTATTTGTTACTTCAAAAACTGGTGGCTGATTTTCTATACGAAGAAGAAAATATAGACGAAGGATGATCGTATATCAAAGTAAAAGAATCCTTAACCATTTCAAAACATAGTTAATCAAAATACAATTTTCTTTTCTAACATGCATTTAGAGGCACAGTCCCTTTACTGCTCTAGTTTAAGTATAATAATTTTTTCAGGTGAAAATGACGAAAGATATATATTCTACGTTATGAGTAACAAGTACAGAGCTACCACTCTATAAAGTAAAAAAAATAATTGTAGTCATCCAAATAAAATCTTCGAGTGGTGGTCCTACCTTCTAGTCCTGTCCATTTGTAATTGGATACAGTAGGTATACACTGTTGACATCTGTTCTGTATATTTCTAGCTTGCATTGGGTAACATTTACCATCTATATAGCATGTATTTTCCTAGAATTTCAAAAGAATCTACAGACAGTAAATCATACGTCCAATGAAAGATTAATTATCCGACATATCCGTTATTTTAATTAATGGTTTTTAGTCAAGGAATAATATGATACATTTATGAGAGACAAATTTAACATAATAAACTAGCCAGAAATGTTTTCGAAATATGTTAGATATTATTGCCATGGTTCAAATAAGAACAAGAGAGCAAGAAAAGGGAAATCAAGACATACTTTAGTAACACATGGACTGCCTTGTTACAGTGTCGACATCTAGAATCATACACCACAAATCTCCGATCAGAAACGACCCTTCCTCGCCGATTTATTACCTTAAGTACAAAATAAATAAGTAATGTGGTATTGCTCATGGATGGAGTATGTCTATTTCAGATTAAGTCTCTGGAATCAATACTACTTTTGCCCTTCATACAATAAACATCCATGTGAAATTATTAGATGACCGACGCCAGTGGTATTTGTAGCGATCGTCAAATTTCCTAAAAAAGTTTCTTACCTCAATTTGATATCTTTCTGTATTTGATTGGGAAAATACTCTTCTTAAAAATTTAGTTGATGGTATGATGCAATCGACTTCATTTGCCTTGAGGTCTATTCCAATCGACATCGACAGATTAGAGAGATCTGAACTATACTAGAAAACATTGTGAGAATATTAAGAAGGTTTTGCGGTTACTACATGTAATCATGGAAATAATGTTTTAGTTTAGTGCCACCTATTGGAAATTAGATTTTTGTCTAAATGAGTTTCCAAAATAAAGTTATTATTATCTGGATAATGAAAGAATATATATTATATACTATAGGAAGTTCCTTATTTAGTTCTATCAGATAACATAGTACGACAATGTTAGTCCAGCACTACCAATTGCCTTAATAGATCGTAGTCGACCATTTACACACCCAATTTACATAATGCATCAATAACAACAAACTTAAATACCTCAACAAGAGTTAGTTTGCATTTAAATCCACTATTGCGCTTTGGAACAAAAAATGTTACTCGATCACATCCATACAGATTGATGTCACATAATTCAAATGTCTTATTCCACTTAATAACTGATATTTCTGTTGGCTGAAAAAAAAAATGAATTTCCCGGAATTACATTTAAACCTATATAAAGTTAAAAAAGTTGTATATTCCTGAATTGAAACCACTTAAAAGGGCTGTTTGGGATTCAAAAGAGATTTCCTTGCGTTTAATCTTGTGTGGATACTTCTATTCACTATTTGGGTTTCCTAATTCCCATTGCTCCTTTAATTTCAGATGCCCTCGATCACTTGAAACCAAGTGAATAACACCAATCAAAATAAGAGACCATTTGTTGTCAAGAACAAAGTCAGGAAACATTGAATTTTTTTTTCAAAGAAAGATGTACGGCTTACCTCTGGCAATGGAAAAACTTTCTGAAAAACATTGGTCGTTGTTTCTGGAGGGAATGTAAAGAAGTCTGTGAATGGTGTTGGAGTTGTCGTTGTGGCTGTTTCTGTTGTTGGGGTTGTAGTTGTTTGTGTCGTCGTAGTGGTTGGAGTCGGGGTGGTTGTTGTTGTAGTAGTAGTTGTTGTGGTGACTGTAATGTAGACAAAGAAATGTTATGTCCTGGTTGATGAATGTATACGGATGATAATTATACCTATATATAGCTTAGACTAGGTATGTTTCCGGATATAATGTGCACACGATTTGCTACTTTAATTATTAACTTTTTCTATAATCCCACACCGTACACCACATCGGCAACCGTATTCCTCTATTCGCTTCAAACATCGTCTATAAATGGTAAATCATTGATATAAAATATTGATACGAAATAGAAATAAAAAATATGGTAGGTTTTACGTCTGCTTTTCTGCAATGGATTTGTCTAATATTGACTTACCGAGTACACTACAGTCCAATCCAAAATAAAAGGATTCACAGACACACCCTTTTACAGTACACTGACCTCTCCCATTACAACCAGAAGGACAGGCAAGAGATTTTTGCACTTCAAGAGGGAAAACTGGATCGAAGTCATTTGGCGGAACATATGATATAAAATCCTTTAAAATACTGTTTTCACACATGTCTTCCACAATTTTTAAATCATATTTCACTCGCGAAGAATTTTTCTTGATCTGAATATCCTGAAGACAGAGATTCAAAGCGGTATCTACAGATTGTTGTACAATGCTTGTACAAGCCACAGAAATTGGTGAGTCTACGATGTAAGATGCACACAGAAACTGAGCATCCGCTTCCTTCATAAGAGACTCCCTTTGCCAAATTGGTTTAACTTCATTTTCCTCTTCGGTTCTTCTTGGAACTGGAAATCCACTTTCAAATGTTTTGATTTCTGTATCAAATTCAAACTGATAAGGTTCCGTATCCTTTAGTTTTGTAAAGGAAGTGAGTTTGAAATCCAAATCACGAACTATGTCAATGTCGCCCGAACCTTCATCTCCCAGTACATTTAAGTATTGGTCGGTTGTGTCTATAGTTCGCAAGACTGAAATGGTGTTATCTAGATAGGGAGACGAATGACCACAAATTTCGCCATCATGGGAAGGAGAACAGTCACATTCGGTATCAAAGGTTGGCATCCAATTACCATTATAATCGGCATCGAATAATGTCTTGTTTCTCCTTATTCTGAAAGAAACATACAAAAGTTTAACTATGTCAGATGCTGTCACAGAATATTTTATATTTTTACCGAATTGAACACGATAAAAAAAAATCGCTTGCAGACATAACAAATGGCATCCGGTTTGCGTGTCAAGAGATCTAAAAATCAACAGATTTGGAATTTAAGGCAAGGACCATACAATCGTCGTAACAACAACCAGTTGCGTGAGAGATATTTCAACTGTATCTTTTTACGTGATTTTCTCACCTCCATTCTAGAGCTAGAAAACTAGTACCACCAGTTAAAGGCTTTATGTGCACGTTATTGTACACCTTTTCACGGAAGCTACCGCATAGTCCGGTATTCGACCTTGGTCCCAGTCCATTTACCATCAGTGCTAGTGATATTCCCCACGTATCAATAGAAACCTTTAATCTCGATCCACCGGAGAACAATATCTGCAACAACAAATATGTTTTATATAGGTCATAATGGGCCTAATGTACAAGTATTCAGGTTTTAGAAAACTTTACATGGTGTCTTATCTAAATTTTTTATCATTTTTTACAAGGTGAAAGAATGGCCTGTGCCCCCCCTGAAGAATTTTGTGGCCCCTCACCTGATTTTCCTAGAAACGCCACTGTGTCTTAGAATTTAAATAACCTGTATCGCGATGGTCTGCACATGAATTAGATATTGGGGATTGGACAAAAAATTGAGAGCCTGCTGACTTTCTTTCGAAATCTTATATTTGTGTACGTACATATTTAATTCTTCCTCCGAGTGCCTCCTCGATCTTGAAACCTCCCAATTCTTGTGACCGAGCCTGAGTTCTGACGTCACCACCAGGACACATATCAATATTTATTCTACCAGTTCGGTAACTCATGGCAACACCACAAAGACAGTATCCTCCGTGACCGTTACAATTCCAAACTCGAACATGTATCTAAATACACCATGAGATTTAAGACGCTTTAATGTGCCACCCGATCCTGTTCACATGGACATACTATCAGAGTACAGTACAACCAAACGGAAAACAAAACAATTTATTCTCTGTCAAACTTTCTATATTGCATCAGCACATTGTGCTGTACTTGGTCAGTACAATATGTATAGACTTACTTATAATAAAATCTACCAGTAATGTCAAATACACCAATCTAGGTCAAGTACATATTTCACATTAAAAAGTCATAAATTTATGTTTGACATCAGAAAGTTGTAAGTTAATTAATAACCATTGTCTTACCACAAAATTATCTATCTGAGACACGAACATGACGAACGTTCCATGAAAACTCAAATCATATAATCTGAAATAGACCGTCTGTAGTTTTGTTAATGGCAGTTTAACATGGTTGAGGACATATCCTTGACTGACATGTTCCTCTGGATTTGCATAATCGCGTGCTTGAATACAAGAAGTTCTTTAATCATTCGCATGATTTTATATTGCTTAGCGTATTTCGATAAGAAAAGTTCCCCCCAAATCATGCAACATTTGAATTCAACTTGAACTATCTCGTTCATACAGACCATACCATGTTCTGAACAACTGATTGGAAAAGGTATTTGTATATAATAAATTTATACCTTCCATCAAAAGTCTGAACATGTGGATCAGCAAAAATATAACATTCTTGAACACCAGCATCTTCTATTTCTATCTATTGAGAGAAAGCAAACGTTTTTATCTTCAGATGATCCTTAAGTTCTCTGTTATTGTCCACAGATTTACAGCTTCCTGGTTTGTTATGATGTAAGTTTTTGCTGAAACAAATCTGAACCGAAAATACCATTTGCTTTGTTCATTAAAAGCAGTCAAATATCACTTTTGATTTTGTATAACATCAGCGTCCTTCAGCGACATTTAGGAGAATAGATCACATCAAATAACAGAACACGTGATGATATACTATCTAATATGTATTATACCATTGAATGTCAGTACGCGATAAGGGATTCAATAAGCCTTATCTAACCTACCATAGCTTCTGTATACTGCTCATTCCAACCGTGTTTGTTCCCACCAATAATAGCTGAAAGAACGGCTCCTGACACCTCTTCATTGAAAGCAAAATCTGGTATAACTTTTACTCCAATTTCCGCTCTACCACAAACATTATTCTCATCACATTCGTTATCAAATACCTTTAATTTACATGCAGATAGTCGTATTCTTGAGGATGGATCACCATCTGAAATCAACAATATGAATCTGGATAACAATGACTTATGAGTGGGGTTTAAGACAAAATCGTGTGTAGTAAGGTCATCTCCAATTGTATGTGCAAACACGAAATGTTGCTTCGTACAATATCCTATTAACAACCCTTTGTCATGGAGTAATAAATAGACGTAACACTTTTGCTCATTTCTAAGGTAGTCTTACATAGTCACATCACTATGCTTTTTGTTTGTTTGTTATTGTCAACAATAAAAGTAGATGTGCACGTTATGAAAACAGTCAGCAAGATTGTTATCAATGTTTACCTAAGTTTAGTACAGCCAATGTGACATCTATACCACAGTTTATTTTGTCACACAATATAGGTATAGTTGTATACAGTGTTATATTTATAGCTGGCATACTCTCTTTTAATGAAATCGTACCTTCTGAAAACTGAAATGGAATAAATTTTTAGGTAAAAGTACCTGGTTTATTTATAAGGAAATAAGAATATCATGACAGATTAGTTTAAGTAGTGTTTCCTTGAGGTAAAAACTATTTAGGATGGTGAAAGTAAGTACTTTGATGTCTCGATGTTGGTAAATGAACTATTGAGCTACTGGTGGAACTGAATTGCCAATCAAATCGTGTAGATGTAAAGATTGATCTGGAAACACTTTTCCTCTACATTATAATGTAATAAAAAAGATCTTACCTTAAATCCTAAATTAAATAGATCACTTATACCATCATCCTCGGCAGCAGTCTTTACATGCATTAAGCTTACACCACATTGAATCTGATATAACAAAAGAAACATTTCATAAAATGTCACTAACCCTTTTAAATAATCAGATTACCTTCCAAAACATGTGTCGCAAATATTTGTAGGCCTATTCGACGGGTCTTAATTAATTCGTGATTTATTGGTACCCTCATGATGAGTTGAATTTCTTCATTCTCGTTATACCCAGGCAGGACTACTGTAGATAGTAAATAGCTATGCGGAGTCTTCTACATTTTTTTTAACATTAAAAAAGCATATAACTTCTTACATGGTCTCCAGGGAAAACATCCTCATAAACTTTTAATAACGATAATCGACCCATCATATTTCTCCTAATAATCTGTAACTCTCCACCCATCCATTTATACCACGCAATTCGAAATTCAACACCGACAGTTGATTGGTTACCCAAATCGAGGCTACAGTTCAGATAGTGGTCAGATCGATATATGACGTTTTGGATTTTGGGTTTTGTAAGCTTAACGTGAGTAACTGAAAGAGAAAAAACATTATCCATAGTTGTTGACTTCGATGTGAATAATTCAACTATTATGAGAGATTTTTGAAGCAAATATATCGCAGAAAATGTCAATCATAGCACAACTGATCATGTGGGCACATGGCTATATTGCCATTACGAATAGTACAGTGTTAACAGTTTATATGTCAGATTTCCTCATATCAACTATAACTTCACCTAACCAAAACACAAAATTATGTTGTTTAAAAATGAACCTTCTATGGCTTGAAATATATATAACAGGCAAAGAAATAAATTGAAATTTTAAATTTTGTATCCATTATTTCACAGTATATATTCTGTTTATATTTTGTACAGCGAGGAAGAAAGCAAGTCACATTTCTACATGATAAGTTGAAAACTCATGTCAGACACATGGCAAACAGAATGCCTCTTTTGACAGCATTTGACAGAACAAAATACACGAAACAATACACATCCACATTTATCCGAAGAATTCACAACCAGGCATACCTACGCATCTCCTGCGATTCATGTTATACTCCTGACCGTCTGGACAACTGTTGATCAAACTTCTCTCTGTCACTGAAACACAAACAAAACAACAGATGATGACTCCTACAACAGTCTGCCATTTATATTCTTTTGACAAGGCATAAATATGCATCGTTTTAAATGGCGTCGATAGAATAATTGGATTCTGTTGCGTCTTAGTTTGCCAATAAATCAAATCTGTTAAAACTACATGTTACATTAAAAATTATCTGTTTTAGTTTAAAGGCACTGAACCAAAACGATCCATAATCAGTAAATAGATACCAGAGAGTTTGTAAGAACATTTGACTAAATTTTCACACTTTAGTATGTGTGTTTTATCTGAATTTATTTAAGAAAATAGAAAAGATCTGGTACAGTCTGATACAGACGGATAATACAAATATATACACAAAACCCTGTCCCAAAAGATTTGTACGATACACCCTTTAAAATAACATGTAGAAATGGTATCAGTAAATACATAAATTGTGATAAGTAAATTATCTCACCCGGTGTTAGACAGTTGCCAGTCTGGGGATCCAAGATAAGACCACCTTCACATATTCGTTCTTGAACTATAACATAGAGAGAGTTGTCAAAAACATCATATAACCTGATAAAATGCCCAGATTAGGCAGAAGAAGAAAGGCGAAAGTGACCTGAATTTAACTTTTCGCACCGTAAATTACCTAACAAGTTCTGTGTCAAATACTTCATGATAAACGTTAGAATGTCAGATGGGCAAAATGTACAAGATTCACATCGTAGCATCAGATATGTGAAATTTTTTTCCAAGACTGAGGTAGACTGAGTTGACAAAACCAGTTCGGAATAGGGTACTCATACTCCGGTAGATTCATATATACTGTGTTCAACGTGAAAATGAATCTAAGATCTAGATTTGCATACAGTGATTTTACGTAAATATGTGAGCATGTATGTTTTTGTAAACTGCACGTTAAAATGTCGGATATCTAGTGTATCGTAAGGTAAATATGGCAAATATATTAAGAATTTTTAAAGTTGGTCATGGAAATGCCAAAACTAACAATTACTAATATACATTATTTACTCAAAATGCCAGATTTCACTCATATGAATACAAGTTCTGCTATCGAATGCACGATGCAAGTTGACAAAACCTTGAAGAATTTCTGAATAATTTAAAATAACGAACTTATTATATCACCATGTTTTTTGACATGTATTATTAGCACACACACATTCTCTACGTGATTCAGACAATTCTTTGTGCACTTCTTAAAGCATCAGCTGATGTGTGTTACGAAGGTACTCTATTATCATTTTAGAAGAGAAATGTTCCACAGATCTACGTGATTATCTATTTTGAACGCAGTGATATAGCAGACTTGAATTCCTACCAAAATATTTGTACCATCTCGAGAATAAAAAGAGGAGTTATTCAGATAGCGTGATAGATAATTCTATTAATAAAGTGGGTAAATTAAAATGTTAAGATATCTGTAACATTCTGTACCGAATTTCATTAACTTGTTTTACAAATTATTCACGCTGGCCTGGCAAGGTAAACACACATCAGCATTACATTAAATGGATATGAGCATAAAAACAAGACTTTAAATGACACTGTAGTCTTTATCGTGCTAAATAACTAAATCAGGAACACTAACTTAAAACCAAGTTTTTAAAAAAATTTCCTCAAAGTTGGCATCGAATTTCGGCAAGTCAGCATGAAAAACGATTTGTAAAAAAACATTGTGGGCTAAAGAGTAATCACGAGTAAACAGACAGATTGTTAGATTTTTATTTTCAATTGTAACAATTCTAATAACTGAAAGAGTTTCAATTCATATCATAGCAGATACCAAGATCTGAGGGTCCAAGATACAAAAGATTGGGAAATAAGAGAAACAACCCTCTTGACAGATCAGTATCAGATCACATTTCTACTTACTCCGATAAGTATTGGATTTTGATTGAATTCCGTTAGTATTGAATGCTACTCTTATATCTTACCTGTGGTACAATACCCTAGATTACAGCCTCGTGTAGCTGAAATCCGATACACGTAAAAATCGCCACAATTTTTCACTATTGCTGTAGACTTGGACATACAACAATTTATTTCTTTCCGAGGTAATCTCCAAGCAGCACACGCTTGGCCAATCTTTTCTTTTCCCGGCAACGGCAAACCACCGCGAACATTTAACCAGATTGGCGCTTGAGTACCACATCTATACACCTTAAAAATACATATGGAAATATGCATTCAATACAGCTAAAATATGTACAATATAGTTAAAATTGACAAACAATATAACTAAAATTATGAACACAAGAAGAAAATATATGGAAAATTCATAAACAGGTATATAGCAGAAAATATACATACAATATAGTTGAAAATATACGCAGAATATAGATGAAAATATATATTCAAACCAGCTGTATTATTTTAGATACGGATGAGATGTAGTTATGTGCAAATACATATTTTGTTTGATTACCTTGTGGAAATCGAAATTTGTACATTTGAGAAGTCAACTAATGCGGGAATTAAATCAATATCTTTTTTGTTGGGTTGCACTTTAACAATCTGATCGATTGTTTAAACTTTGATTTATAGAACGATTTGTTCTGGCACAATTCGTAACCGTATGTTTTGTGTTTTTGCTATAGACTTGCCAAAATGTATAATGACGGCTAAGTTGTGTTGTAATGTAATTGAAACGTAACGAGTTAAATCTTTTTAATTAAAAGTTCCAGACAATAAAATGTCTTGCCAACAGCTGTGGTAATTAATAACAATGTTAAATGATGTAAGGTTATGCTTTGTCATTAATTTAGAATTTAACTCATCACCGTTATGTCCTGATCTTTTATTCTAGATATTTTCTTTAAACCTGTCAACAAAGTCCGATTGAAGGAAATACTTTTAGAAACAAAAAGGCTTCGGACGCCACATGCTCGGCTTACCTGAACACACTTAGTTGGAATGACAGCATTAGAGCCATTAATAAGAAATCGATACCAGCCACTCCGAATATATACATCACATAACGCCGCTTTTCCTTGTGGTACAACATAATCCACATGACGTCTGAAATCGTCAATCATTACATGATTACCAGTTTCACAAGGATCTGTAAAATAAAAACATACATCTTCTATAACAAAGATTTTAGGATATTAGTAGATCTGGGATGAATGTTTTGTACTCTTGTCAATTAATTTCATTGCTCTTGGATACAAAATTATTGAAAATACGCCAAAGATACGCTGTAATGGTATCATGTTAGACGTTACGTAAAATATCAAGATCAAGTGTTTGATATCACAGGTAACTTTTCTTTTATGATGAATGTGTCAGTTATGTATATGTGTTTAAGAAAAAAACATGGATCTTGCCAATTATTGGAAGTCACATATGAAAACGCAGATAACTTTATGTTCATGTTGCGTATGTGGGTAACCTCAGTTAACTTTCTATTAGAGAGATCTGATAAAGAATGCATCACCTATACAAAGTAGTCCCCGTATGCACAAAGATCAAAACAAGGCTGTGATAGATGCATAAAATTAACACGTCAAGAGAAAATCTGACATGTTTACTTTTTACCAAAATATATGCATTTTTTGATAGAATGCCAATTAGTGATTCTTATTTCAAAAATTGATAAAAACAAATACAAATCCATCGTTAGAAGTCGCATTTTTTTGTATTGGTACAATAATAGCATGATGCCGACCGCATATGTTTTAATATATAAGAACTTTCAATTTTTTAGACGTAGACTATAGTAGGTTGCCTTTAGAGACAGACGCGAATGCCTTTTAAACAATCAAATTTTATTTATTTTCACATTTTTGCAAAAGGTTCGCTATTTGTAAAGTCAACAGATGGTTGTAAATCACACTTCTAAATAGAGCAGCAGATTATCCTATTTTATTATAGAACCTGTAAGTAGATGTTGTTTCACAAGTATAAAGATAAAACTGACGGTTTAGATGTATCAGAGGCGGCATAAAACATTAATATGATATTAGATAACAATATCGCCTTCTTACGTTTTTACACCCAATGACTCTCTAAAATTTCAGGTTCCGACTCTGCATAATTGCCTTATATCATCATAGATGGCTTTATCATTACGGGTCATAACGGGTTTTCTACATCTAAACCTTACTGCTACCGATATCACTGCTGGTGGAAATTGGTGAGCATTCAGTCGTCACAGATCCTTTGGAGACGTTATTTCGTACAAATGAATATCCACGGCGATTTCGAAACATATGGTTACAGTAATAAGCTTCGTGTCCAGAATAGTATTCTAGGGTGCCAAAGAATGCTTTGACATTCGGACTAAATAGTTGAAATTGGGGTATAAATTCCATGGCATTATTTAAAAGGTTGCTGCATGATGTAAATCAATTATGTTTAAAATATTCAAGGCATGCAAGTTTTTGTATAAAAATTCGACATGCATGAAACTGAAAATTCGATGCCAAATATTCAAAAAATTAAAATAAATAAAACAATTCAACGTCTGAAAAATTCATCAAGATTTTTATCTACAAAGAATCACACCAACTCTACAATTCAGGGTTTGTCCTCCCAGACTCACGTTGCACTTCCTTTATTATATTCAAGTTGAAATTCTTTTTAAATACATATGTAAATAATTAAAATGGCAGCTATCACACTTTATTGTGTGCGTGCCACTGTTTTAAAAAGTTGGTTAAATTACTTATTATATTTTCTTAAAGACAAGAATATAAAGGCTTGACAATGGAGCGCAGGTGGTGTCCCCAGAGAGTTATTTTGCCTTTTGAACTACAAATGGAAATCGTGTAGGCATATTGGTATATTTCTTTATCCCACATATTTAAAGTATGCCATATAGAAGATCCACATGCTATGACAAGGATAGTAGGGGTCTTTGATGCCAAGCCAAGTGTAGTAATCAGTCAAAAAGAGTAGGTCGGAATATTATCATTATCAGCTAAGTAGTAAGTAAAGTTAGCAAGTGCCTCATTGATGTAGACTGTTTTATAATCAGAATTGGTCAAATTGAGTAGTGTACAGGTAGTATATAGGCAGATCACCTTATCATAGCAATTCTTGTAGTGGAAATCAAATTCGTAAAAGTTTTTCTTGACAAATTTGGGATCAGGGATTGGTGGATTTGATGAATTAAATTAAATACATAGTCACTCACCTATACAATTTACATAGAGAATGTTAAGAAGAGAAATCAACAAAATAAATATATTCCGTATCATCTTGTATTTTGGATTCTATCCATACCACGTCAACCTAAAAGGCACATTACTTTTCCAAATAATTCGGATCACAGCCAGTTTAGCAAAATATCAGCCTATCATGATCACGTCAATATTGAAAGAGCACAGCTTCAATAAATAAACCCCTAGTAACTGTCGCTAAAAATGCCACACATATATAATTCATGTAGAAAACCAAGAGGTAAATTCCCAATCCGAAGCACATCGGCTATTATATTCTACTATTCTATTTGTCAATATCCTCTTCTGAAATGCATGGATCTGCTAGAAATTGAAAATCTCAAACATGTAAAATCAGAAGAAAATAATCCACACGTGTTATTTTATAAAATCTTATTAGCTGATTTACATAAACGGGGAAATCTTTAATGAGTAACAAACCGACTTGTTTCAACAGACATATCAAATTCAATTCACTTCAATAAATGCAAGAAGACACAAAACAGCACAATATCCCAAAAACACTCAACAAATACTGTTGAATTATAACTATCGCATATACATCATCATTTTAATTTCATTTATCTTTCCTATCTACACCCCGCTGATAATAATTGCATGATGTAATTCGTCTTGTGGCTTCTTGTCGTTGAAATTGTTGAGGTTTCTGGAAATAATTTTGTTGACTTAAAGACGCATCTCCTTAACTATAACCATATCTCTAGACAAAATATGTGATGATATATTCACGTAAAATACATCAACACGTCAAGCTTATCTCCATAGCTTCTAATAAAACTCTATTCACGATCATACAAGTAAGACACACCTTTGCACTCTGCTCAGAAGGTGAGAAATGGTTGAGATAGTATCATAGTCCCATGTGCGAATCATATCATTTGAAGTGAACGTTGAAATTACACCCGGCCTTTAACTACCAAACACTACTATACTCTAATCGACAGAATAAAGCCAAGAGTTGAATTATGTAAAGGTTAAATTAGACAAATCTTGATTTATCAATCAGTTACATTGCATATCTCTTATCTCAATCTCTTATTCCAGTACCTGTTCCATCCTGGTTTGGCTAGGGTCAGTTTCTTTCGATATTTCAAGCCTCTTAATGGTAAATAAATAAACCTTGCCTTCGATGTGAATCTCAAAACTAAATGTACAAACAACTATTTTTTGAATCATTCTGATCTATAATTACATTATATGCCTGGTATTATAAATCAACAATAAATTATATTAAAAGTAATTATCCAATGTAAGCTTTAACTCGAATTTTCTACACTAGAACAACAGAACAGCACGATTTTCATTTTTCTTTTATCTTAGAATAACATATTGGTTAATGGGGTCGTTGTCAGGTTTTCATGGGTCAAAACCACAACACTGATTTGAAAACCATTCTCTGTGAACCAGAAATACATAAACTTACAGTAGGAGAAGGGTGAGGTTGATTTGATGAAAGAATACAGGTCAGGTCTGGGCCGAGCTACCACTTACAGATATTCTGAAGTCATACCCCGAAATCTAATGAATATCGGTGGAAAATATTCAGTGTACACTGATCCTTTAGTGTTCCTTTAAACCTTGTAAGCACGAAAATTATTACCACAAATATAAGATTTGTTAGCATTAAATTAGATCTCAACATTATCTCATATCATTATAATATGTTGCTTCATCTACTTCTGCCTCTAAGCAAAGGTCATATTCAAATCCAGTTTCAAATGGTCACTACAATCGCGTAACGTAATTATGAAATATATGGTGTTTATAATCAAAATAAATTTGCCACTACAAAGTCATCAAAACCACTTGAAAATTCCTCGAAGATAAACCACAGTGTTCACTAAGATATAAACGCTATTTATTCTTTATTAACTCATCCAATATATGCAGATGTAAATATCATTTAGTTAAAACACTAAGAGGTTTTGAATAGGTCCATAAAATGAATGAATATCATTCTTTATATTGAAACGCCGAGTTTACTGTTCCGGAACGATAGAAATATCTTAGGCTACAGTGTTCAAAATGATTTTAACATATAGTTCATCCCATTAACCGTGCTTCATTAGACATCAAGATAAATTATTAGATGTAAACGTCTATTTTTGTTTTAAACAAACGTTAGCAGTAGACTGGGTTTAAGAAATGATGATTTTCTAGATCTATAATAATAAACCATTGATGTCACTCGACAAAGTGTTATTCATTGGAATCAGAATTTCATTTGATGGCCAGCATTTGATACGAATGAGCTCTACACTTGTCTTTATCAACAGACCGTAGCTTTAGTAATAATTCTACAGTAAAATGGTCGCAATATATCTATACATATCATATCACACATGCCAGTTAAATGTAAGTGTAAATACACTATGTCATTAAGGTTGCTGGTATTAAATCAGTCAGGTTGTTATACTGTTTTCCTTATTAAGTAAAGTAGCTGCTTTACTTTAGAAGTTGATAGACTTACAAACTGCTGGGTACCGACCTGTCGAACAGAAGACAGGTTTTGTTCTCTCTTATCAGAATAGTAGTGTAAGGGACGCAACTTAACACCGGAAATACTTCTTACTGCACTGCTACTGCGGCGGAAAATTGGTTTAGGGTGTGCAACGGTCGCGATAAGCGTGTAGGACACGCCAGACATCGTGCAGTTGTCGCCAGTTGTTTCACAAATTAAATTAAAACGCCATGGTTCGGCGATTTCTAATAGAACGCGTTGCAAACGCCACGGGACAGAGAATGTCGTCAGACAAGCGGTGGATTAAAAGCGCAGTACAAAAGGTTACAAAGAAGCTGCAAAAAAGTTGGAACGCAATATGGTCGGATAACCCTCGATATGAGGTCGACTT